TAAAAAAAACTGACCTTGTGTCACAACCTGACTCAGTCAGGGGTCAAGTAAATATCTACTTACCAGACGAAACACGTAAAAACAAACCGATTATCCCTTGAAAGATGTTCTCTCTTTATTTACTTAGGTTATCCAGCGACAGATGTTTAAGGCATTATACGTCATCTGGAATCGTATATAATGTTACGGTTTTTTGGGTATATAATACGTATATGACTAGTGAGCGAGTCAGAATGACTTATTTCCCTTTATAGTCGACCAATAGAAGGTTGACCAATCAGAAGCCGCCCAACACTGTATTCGTCGTGTATAAAGGCGGCCATCTTGTTTCCTCTACCGGAAGGACCAAAGGCGACCAGGAGAAGGATGAACTACACTCTGCTGTGGTATCCACTGAGAACCTAAAGTACGCTTTCCTACTGTCTCCGAAATATTCACTGCCAACCTCTGGATTCAATACTCGAGGACGACCGTCATGAAAATGTCTAACACTATTAACAGAGCTAGACATTCAGCTATTCTTTTACGTTTCTTTGGCTCAATATCTGTTAATTTCAGGAACAGCTTGTTGAATTCAATCCTTATTTTTACCTATCATGTTCTACATTTCAAATAGAACGATCCAACCAACAATGGAGTATTGCTATCATGTCCTCACATTCCAACCGTGTTCCAGAATATTAGTTCGGATGGTTATCTGCAAAAAAAAAAAAAAAAAAAAAAATGGGCTTCAAATGCAATTTGTAGTTGGGAGACACTAAAATCAAGCAGGTACAGAAATTTAAATATCTGGGAAATTTAAATATCTGGGAAGTGTTCTTACAGAGGTCGGAAACTGCGACGTTGAGGTCCGAAGTCGTATAAGGATGGCCAACGATGCATTCTAAAAGCTAAGCAGAGTATTAAGAGATAGGAAAATTTCGTTAGAAACAAAGAAAAGAATAATGAACTGCTACGGGATATCTGTCTTCCTGTATGACAGCGGATACTGGACAAACTCCTCGAAGATGAGGAAGTTTGGTTTGGTTTGGTCTGTTTTACGGCATATCAACCTAAATGGGTTATTCAATGCCAACAAAATTTTTATTGATGGTAATATGTTTTTCTTGAAAAATCTATTTCTGGGAATACTTTTCCTTCAAGAAATCTATAGCTGGTCATATTTTTTCAAAGAATGTATAGCTGTTTGTATTGCTGTTATTTTTTGTTTTTTAAAGTATTGTTGATAATAATTTTTCCTTCAAAAATTATTGCTGGTAATAATTTTTTTTATTACAACCTATTTTTACACAAGTTTCAGTGTTAACTATTTGCCCATAGCTGGGACCCTAACAGGTGCTACCACCCGGGGTCTGCGTGGACCTGGGAACACCAGCAATTAAGAGGTGGTTCCACGATCCTCAAAATTTCCTGATCAGAGGCCTTGCTGTTGGACGTAGTTTATCATCTTATCCAGGACGTTAAACATGAGGAAAAGACTTGAAGCAACAGAAATGTGGTTCTACAGAAAGATGATGAGGATACCATGTGTTGAACATGTGAGTAACGACAAGATTTTTGAGAGATTAGAAACAAAGAGAAAACTTATACTTAACAGGGAGAGGCAGCTGAGAACTCTGGGATACATAAGGAAAGAGGTCTTGGAAAATCTGATACACACAGGACGGATAGGAAGAAAGTGGGACAAGGGAAAGTAACGAGTGACATACTTTATGGGCTTAACCAAGTGAATAATAGAACAAGGTCTGGGAGAAATAATAAAAAAGACAAAACTTAAGAGCTTCAAGGAACAGGAGGAAGTGGAGGGCCATGATCGACTACGTCCTGAAGCAACACAACACATAAAAGAAGAAGAATAAATTTCCACCCTTCAATCTCTTTCCCATGGACGAAACCTTGCTAACATCTCGCAACTCTATCGGAATATTTATAGCAGATGTACGGGCGAACTACATTCCTTAGTTCCATCAGATCATGCCACCTACACAGAGTCAACTCATCGGCACTTCCTTCGTAATTCATTGGTAAGGAGGAAGTCCCACAGACAACATCTTTCTCTCAGAACTGTTGCATTGCGCAACAGACTCCTGATGGGACGCTTCCGCGATCGAAACAACCTCTTCAAATCACGAGTCAACCGGTATCCATTCTACACATCCACCTCTTGCGCCTTCTTTTTCGATCTTATTTAGTAAAACTCTAGCTTGAACGGTTCTCAAGTAATGGCTAAATAATACTAAAGAAAATACTATCGATAATATTTGTACTGCGTCAAGGGGGTGGGTTTTGAATTCAGTTGAACGCCTTCTAGACTAAGCCTCTAACGAATGTTAGAAATCTCCGTCTGCCTTGCTATTTGATTTACGGCTAGGAGCGTGGTAAGAAGGAAGGATATTTGCGTGAAAGTGAATGGAATAAATTGGACTGGAATTCGAACTCGGCTTGCCAATTATCCAGTTCTAAGTCGCTAACCGTTACATTTCTTGGTACATCCAAACAGGTAACACGCAATAAAAATCTGAAGTCCTGGCAGGCGGTAATTTAAAGAATCGAACCCTTCACTGCATGCGAAATAAGATTCCTTGTCATCGTTCTTCGAGTGGCGCCCAATAATGGAGAAAAGATAGTAAAAAGGTCAGACAATTGGATTTATCTTCATCGAAATCCGACCTCTTCGAGTGACAAATAAAGAACAAAAGATAACGGCAAGTTTGAGAATCAGAACAAGAGGGTTCGGTTGTAATCCGCTCCTCCCCACCACCCAAAAAAAAAATAAATACAAAAATAAAGAAAGCTAAAACAAGAAAGATAAATATCAAAATAAAATTTCCTAGAATGTTAACACTGTGAATAACACAGAAAAAAAAAAAATTGTACTTTAAAATTCTTCGAAGATGAAAAGTTTTTGCAACCAGCGAAATTTTCATAAAATGCTAACAAAATCGACGACCGCATTTGAAAACCCGCTACGAGGCTTAACATATTCTGAAACAATGGCATTAACGCAAGCTGGACTTCAAAAAAATAAATAAAAAATCTTCATCCGGTAAATTGTAGGCCAGGTTTTGATAATTACACTCCTATTCATCTGTTCTTATCAAAAGGAAATAGCCACATTATATATATATATATATATATATATATATATATATATATATATATATGTGTGTGTATTTTAAAGAGAATACATTTTTCTCTGCAAGCGCGTAGGTGTGCGTGTTTAACTAAAAGGTTTCTGATATATATATATATATATATATATATCAAAGTCGTCTCGTCAGTCATTATGGCTCCTCAACTAGAGATAGTTGCTTGGATTTCAATATATCATAGGTCACAGAGCCTAGTGGTCACAAAATTACATAATAAACCCACAACAATATAAACCTCTTCGGATCCGTACCCAAGACAGAGTGTCAAAGGACAAAGTGTCGAAGGGCACAATAACGAATGCACAAAGTGTCGAACAGACAAAGTGTCGAACGGAAAAAGTGTTCAACTGATTAAATGACGAAAGGCCAGAAATTTGTCGACGACCTATTCATAGCATTCATATAAGAGTTTCTTCCTCTCCCACCCATATTTGCGTCTTGATAATTTCCATTATAAAGGGCGTGGTCAAAATATACAGTCTTCTCCGAAAGTCATGTCAACCGCTATCCTCCTAATGAGAACAAGAGAAGAACAAGTAATACAAAGCACAAATACTGGATTAAGTTTACTCCCTTTCAATGACCTTGTCACACATGGAGAAGATCTACACTATTTATATTATTGGGACTATTGTCTTCATCTTTGTCGCTATATTTGTACGCTCCGGCCTTCTCTAGTTGGTTAAAATGTCGAACTGAAACTTTTATTTCGCCTACTGGGGTAGACTGTTCTAGTTCCACGTGCCATGTTTACTGGATGTCAGTTATCAGTTATCGCCTGTTAATTCCCCTCTCCAAGTTCTCCACCGCCTTACCCAGGTATTGAACTCACATTCTTTGGATCCGGTCACTGGATCTAACTAACGCCTTTATCCACCGTGCCATGTGTTCTTGTGTGAATTTCTGGGTATTATAAGCCTAATGTCTTCAGCAATCAGTTTTTTTTTTTACCAGTGCTCATATTGCAACCACCTGAAGAAGGCCGGATCGTATGACGGCCGAAACGTTGTGATAAATATGGCGACAAAGATGAGGACAATAGTCCGAATAATGTAAATAGTGTACATAATAACACATCTCAGAAATATAGACAGATACTGAAGGATCGGATAAATATGACAACAAAGATGAGGACAATAGTCCGAATAATGTAAATAGTGTACATAATACCTCATCTCAGAAATATAGACAGATACTGAAGGACCGGATAAATATGGCGACAAAGATGAGGACAATAGTCTGAATAATGTAAATAGTGTACATAATACCTCATCTCAGAAATATAGACAGATACTGAAGGACCGGATAAATACGGCGACAAAGATGAGGACAATAGTCGGAATAATGTAAATAGTGTAAATAATACCTCATCTCAGAAATATAGACAGATACTGAAGGATCGGATAAATATGGCGACAAAGATGAGGACAATAGTCCAAATAATGTAAATAGTGTACATAATACCTCATCTCAGAAATATAGACAGATACTGAATGATCAGATAAATATGGCGACAAAGATGAGGACAATAGTCCGAATAATGTAAATAATGTACATAATACTTAATCTCAGAAATATAGGCAGATACTGAAAGGCCGAAACGTTGTAATAAATATGGCGACAAAGATGAGAACAATAGTCCGAATAATGTAAATAGTGTATATAATAACATATCTCTGAAATATAGACAGATATCGAGAAGATCTGTATGAACGCCATCATTTTCGTAGCACAAAATGATGTGGCAACATGTCTTGTATGATATTTTACGAAGCTGTGCTTTGTTGACTACTGCAAAGGCTCTCCGAACGGCGCCTTTCAAATGAAGCGTATTCTGGTATCGTTCATATGAATCTCTCTCTCTCTCTCTCTCTCTCTCTCTCTCTCTCTCTCTCTCTCTCTCTCCTTGCTCTTGCCAGATTACACACGATCATGTGTCCATACACTTGCAAGCAGCCTCTTTTCAAAACTGTAGGATATGGCGTCAGTCATCTGAAATAGAAAATTATATCATGTAGGGGTGACAAGATTTTCGGATAATCCTGTAGATCCGATATATGACGTTTTAAACTTGAAGGAATAATTGAATTTAGTAAACTGAATTGTCTGCCTGTCTGTAGGAGGCAAGGTGGCGTAATGGATAGCGACTCGGATTGAGGAATCAGAGAGCCGAGTTCGAATTCCAGTGAAATCCTCAGGAACGTATGTATTATCTTTCATAACTGATTAAAAGCGAATTGTGATATAGGTTCCTATTTATAGTCCCGAAAGAATATATATATATATATTTTTTGAGTCTGATTTGCTACCTCTTCATCACTGTTGGAACAGTTGGTATGACGTTTGCATGATGACAACTGTCAGGGTTTCAATTCCCGGTAGTGGATGCGCACTGCTGATGAGTCCCAAATATAAGACGAAACGGCTGTCCAGTGCTTTCTGCATTCTGTTGAGGTTTCTATCAGACTCGATTACTTAATTATAATTATCAAGTCCTCCTAATAATTTCTGTCATATATATATATATATATATATATATATAATCTTCTCATATATATATATATATATATATATATATATGTATATTCTCTTATATATATATATATATATATATATATAAGACTCGATTCAATTTGGTAAAAAAAATAAAGCGTAATAAAAGACCCAAGACTTTCCATCGATGATTATGGAGGCATACTCAGTTTACGGCAATTATTTATTAAATGATGCCAAAGCATTATTTAATAAATCATTGCCCTAAAAGTGATTAAGCAGTAAAATAATTGCCTTACAAGTGATTAAGTAATAAAGCAATAAAAGTTTATAATAGCTTAATTGATTACATTATTCACATTGTTAGGACTGGTGTCCTCATCATTATTGCCATATTCACGACGTTACGGACGTTGTACGCTCCGGCTTTCTTCGGTGATTGGAATTTCGAACTGAACCCTTTATTTCGTTCACTGGGATGGGTTGCTCTAGTTCCACGTACCATGCCTCTTCCGGATGTCTGTTATCTCCCCTTAACTTAACTCTCCAAGTATTTGTCCACCACTGCAGTAGCCAGGTATTGGACTCACAACTCACTGAGTCAAGGCACCGGATCCAACCAACGCTTTTTATCCACTGGGTCATTTGTGGAGTACACGTGCTTAATTGATTATTTGAACCGAGTTTTTAAAGTCATGAATATATTTTTCGTTTTTACTTTGTTCAAAATTTTGTCCGTTTGAAACTTTGTCTTTCCGACATTATGTCCATTCGACATTTTTTCTTCCGACACTCTGACCTCTCACACTTCTGTCAGGGTGTTTGCTCGCAATTTTCTCCTGCCCGCTCGCCTTCAATATGACCTGTGAATGTCAAATGAGCTCCTGCTTTATCTGCCCTTGAAATTTCAACTCTTTTTGATGTATAAGTATAATTTTTGTATCCATTTTCCTTAAAAATGTCCTTGTTACTCACATGTTCAGTCCATGGTATTCTCAGCATCCTTCTGTAAAAATCATATTTCTTTCCATCAGGCATCTTCTTCATTTGTAAAGTGATTATCCAGCACCGAATGCCTTATAGAAAAAAAGAAACAAAACAATATTACGTAACACTCGAACACTCTTTTCTTTGATTCTATCAAAAATTCATGTTTCTTAATACTTTGCTTAGCTTTAGAAAGGCATCTTTCACTATTTACATACGCCTTTGGATTTTGGTGTCATTTCCACATGATTTGGAAGTCAGTTCCCTAAAGCAACGGTTTGTGAGCAGAAGCTGCGTGAGTGGAGCTTACATCTTACCAATGGAATACAGAAAAAGTCTTCAACGATCTCTTTCTGATGTTAAGGTTTTTTTTCCCCATTATCTCTAAGGCTGGTCCATTGTATTTTTAGCAACATTCTGTAGAACCAGATTTCTGCTATTTCAAGTGTCTTCTTCAGCGTTAAGGAAATTATCCAGGATTCAATAGTAGATAGGAGAACTGAGAAGACGTAACATTCCGTAACTCTTTGCTTTGTTTCTTGAAACTTTGCTTAGTATCTTTCGCTATCCCAAACGCGGCTTATTCATTACTTGTCAATAAGTCTATAATAACTCTCTCTTCCTGAAATAAAAGAAAACTGAGACGAGCTTTCGTGAACATCAGTTTCTCGTGAAAGCGGAGAATGAAATCGGGTGCGTATGTCCTGGTGATCGGAGAACGATCAGTTTGATGTGTCTTTGAGGCGGTGTATTATTCAGAGTCTTTGTATTTAGTTGGATAACCATGTTTATTTTATTGACGCCTCCGTTCATTTGATTCCCTATCTTGGGAAAAAAAAAATGGTTCTCAGTTTCAGAGACAGGCGTTCCACAAAAAATACAAAGGGGCTCAGATTTGTAATTCTCAATGGCAAGTAAGTCACAGAATAATCACTTGGATCTTTTTTTTTTCTTATTTCCTTTCAACAGCTAACGTCTGTAATTTTAAAGTACAGAAGCCGACAAAGAAAGTGAAACTGTATTCAGGAATTGGACAATGGAAGACATTAAGCGAATGGGTGTCAAAACGAGATATCATCTCACTTGCCATCGCATATATCATCCTAAAGCTGATTTTGACCGTCTGTGTGTGTACCTAGATCCGAAGAAGGTAGAGGATTAGTTCAACTATAACTGTCTTTGCTATGTACCAAATGTAGAAACGATGGCAAGAAAAGCCTCTTTATTGTCAATACTCTGCCCGTACCAAACAAGCTAGACATACTCCGTACCTAACTTGGAGCATGTGCATGTAAATTTGGGTGCAAATACGTCGAAAATTGCGCCGTGCAATCGTTACACACACACACACACACACACACACACACACACACACACACACACACACACACACACACACACACACACACACACATCATGCCTTTTATAGATAGAGATAATAATAATAATAATAATAATAATAATAAAAAGAATCAGTTTCATGCTCTTTTCCTTACCGAAAAATTTTTTCGCATGTTTGTCTCTATCACGAAAACGGAAAAAATTAAGGTACCTTTAATACCAACTGTATTGATCAAACAGCAGCCTATGACTATATCAACACCACAGAGAACCCTCTCTGCCTCCCATCAGAATGGCTGATTCCTAACTCCACGAGATTCCGATGGTTTTATTTTTGCTGCACAGGGCAAATTGCTTGCAAACTAGAAATTATCAAACACACATACTGAACGATTCTGTTGATCCCAAATTAGATTATGTGATAAATATCCAGATACAATTGACCATCTTGTATCAGGTTGCACAGTGTTAGCACCCTCTTTTTACGTCACAGGTGATCTACCTCTTGACAGTTGAACCTCTCCCCCGGGATGGACCTACGCCAGGAAGGCCTGGCATAATACACGTGGAAATCTCAAAAATGCTGCATATGACGTCATCAATAATTCCAATTGTGGTTGGAGCCCTCGAATTGATTGAAAAAGTTTCCAATAGACCGATTAAAAGGATTCCTGGTAACCCATGCCTTAAAGAAATAAAGAAAAGATTGTATTCAAAAGTACAGCTCACACATTACGAAGAACTTTATCAACGTAAAATATGCGTGATCTTAAGTTTTTTTGATCTTTGTTTTTACTCGGTTACAGAGATAGTTTCTTTATACTTTTATGGGACTTTGCAATATATACAGACAGAACAATCAAAACTAATCGTCCAGATTCTGTGATCAAAGACTTATTGACATAGCAGGCTCTGCAAATTGTAATACATGTTTCAGAAAACTATCAAAATACCAGTATCTTGAAGTGGAAATCCCCAAAATTTGGCACATGAGGAGATCACTAATTCCAGTTGTAGTTGGGGGTCCTCGGATTGATTGGAAAAGGCTCCGATAGACACATTGAAGGGATTCCTGTCAGCACATGCCTTAAAGAAATACAAAAGATTGTACTCACAAGTACAGCTTTTTCAAAAAATGATCCGTGGAAGATATCATGAAACCATTTATGACATTACGTCTTTGGTTGGGAACCAGAAAGAAATGGGTATGCAAGAGAAACCCAAGTAAATAATAATAATAACTAGCAGCATGGTCCGGCGTTGCCCGTGTTTGATTCAAAAATCGTACGACTCATACAGCAATCGCTATCACTTGACTTAAAATATTTTTGCCCTTCCTTGGCTTTAAAGGAGTGCCCTTTGCCGTGGTGATGTTGTTACATGCTTTACTTCTTTCCTATCTCACACTGCGAATTTTTTCTAAGCTCTATACTAAACATTAAATCTGTTACGAAAAAAGAACTAAACAAAATGAACACAAAACGATCAGCTTTAAAAAAAGGACTCGTAACTGGAAAAACCGAATGAAAAAAGAATGTTAACAACAAATACTTTTCACACCCAACCCAGTTCTGCGGAATCAGAATCAACGTTGAGTTTAAGCAAGCGAATGAGCCAATTGGAGTAAAGTGCCATGCAGATTTAAATTTTTCCCACTTGTGACGAATTCAGCTATCGATTTTTTTTGCATGCTATCATGCTAGTTAACATTCGTGTCAGTCAGCTGTTGGCTCTCACGCTGGCCAATAGAATCTTCCTGCCTATTCGTGGCAGCCAGATATAGGCTCTCACTCTGGCCAGTAGAAAATGACCGCAAACTACATGAAAACTGCCGTAGAAGCATGAAAAAATCGATTATTTCCACTATCGGTGGGAGTTGGGAAATGCAAAGTCGGTCTTTGCCTTTCTGCTAACTTGGATGGTGTGCATGTAAATTTTGGTGCAAATCCGTCGAAAATTGCGGCCGTGCATTCGTTACACACACACACACACACACACACACACACACACACACACACACACACACACACACACACACACACACACACACACACACATCTTGCCTTTTATTGATAGAGATAATAATAATAATAAAAAGAATCAGTTTCATGCTCTTTTCCTTACCGAAAAAAAAATCGCATGTTTGTCCCTATCACGAAAACGGAAAAAAAATAAGATACCTTTAATACCCACTGTGTTGATCAAACAGCAGCCTATGACTATATCAACACCACAGAGAACCCTCCCTGCTTCCCGTCAGAATAGCTGATTCCTAACTCCACAAGAGCGTCTCGTCGCGCTTGCTTGGTCTCACGTTGTCCGCTGATATGAGGTGGGACAAATACATAGACTCAATAGCTTCATCTGCCGCAAGGAAAGTTGGTTCTCTGTGTGGCGCCAGCCAGAAAGTTTTTTTCTCGTCTGAATCCATTCTTCAAATTTATAAATCAACCATCCGTCCTTGAATGGAATATTGCTGTCATATATGGTCTAGTGACCTCGCTGTAAGTCTTGAGGTCCTCCACAAAATCCAGAGACGGATATGCAATGTGATAGGTCCTGATCTGGCATCTAGTCTACAGTCGCTTTCTCACAGACGTGGCGTGGCTTCCCCCTCTCTCTCTCTCTCTCTTCTATAAGTATTTTCACGGCTGCTGTTCCGACGAGTTGCTTTCTCTGGTTCCCAGACTGCATGAATTTAAGCGAGTTACTCGGACCCACCCTTTCGCTATCGAAACGGTTAAATGTAACCGTCTCTTCTACTCAAACAGCTTCTTTTCTCGCACTTCCCGTCTGTGGAATACTCTTTCCTCTTACTCGCTTCCCTGTTAACTATAATCTTCAAATATTCAAGTGTAATGATAATCGATATCTTCTGATAACTTGTTCTTCTTCCACGCCCTTCTCTTTATCCTCTCCCCTAACACGCCTCTTTACTTTTGTTCTCTACCCTCTGTAACCCCTTTGCGTGCTAGTGGCACTCCTGCCTTGCTTGAGGTGAAATGCTTTAAAAAAAAATGAGATCGCCTTCCAAGCTCCGAATGCACTGAATGCACCAATAGGTTAGACAAACTACATCGGTCCCCAAAATCGTACATGTCCCTAAACAATTCTAACCCCATCATTAGTGCGACCAGGTCAAAATAAGAACCCCAGTCTATTTAATCTTTTCCTAGACTATACCCTTCGAGTATTCGACCCCACTCGCATCCGAACATCGGGAACGTCTCTTATTCCCTTTCTCCCTTCTGGTGGCAGTGGTAGAGATGACTGTGAAGTCCCAGCCTACTCCTGAAGAGTCGTGAGCAGGAGTCACATAGCAGTGTGTGTAGTAGCCGCAGCCGTGTATGAGTCGGTCCCTCCTGACGACACGTCGCAGGTGATCTACCCCTTGACAGTTGAACCTCTCCTCCAGGATGGACCTACGCCAGGAAGGCCGATTCGCAGCAACGGTTTTCCCAGATCTCAGAGTCAATGTTGGCCTGTGTTTGCGATGCCTTCAACTGATCCTTGACACGTCGTTTTGGGCCTCCGCGTAGCCTCCTGCCGCTGGCGAGTTCTTCGAACAGGATACGTGGGAGTGGGACGCATTCTGGACAAGCGACGTACCCAGCGGAAGCCCTGTTGAATGATGATCTTGCAAGCGTACAAAAGAATGTATAGGACCACTACCCGAAAGACATGATTTCGCGTTTGGAAGCTTTTGCGTGAAGAGATAGACACTGGTCATTAATGTGTTACATTAATGATGTCACACAGTGATTCATTGACACCAAGCACATTTGAATAGGTTTTTATATACATATATACCAATCTCCACTTTTGCGACGCCTTATCAATGAACTCCATGTGATTTTATCTTTGAATATGTTGAGTTTAGTTATTCGTTCATTTGACCCGTGATAATTTCACGACTTTCCTATTGGAATTTTCTGATGAATCTTAATTCTTCAGTGAATGATTGAATAAACTCATGACGAGTTCTACGACAATAAAATATCCATAGAAATTCCTCTATCGTATTGGTAGATATGAGGACTTAACAACTTCAACAAAATATTGCAATAGAAATCAGATATGAATGCTGGTTGTCATTTTAAGAAGTAAGTGGGTACAAATGTAAAGAAATTAAATTGACAACATTTTCCATTTAACTGAAACAGCCGTTAAATTCTACTATCTCCCTCCCTCACTCCATTCTTTCTTTTTAGCTTTGTTTTTCTCACTGAAACCACGTAGTGTCTTTTTCCCGCCTTCTGCATGATCAAAACGGAATAGTTCATTATTTATGAGGTACTGGTAGGTGACGTTAAACAGGTCTTTCTTTCTTTCTTTCTTTCTTTCTTTCTTTCTTTCTTGCTCGCTTTCTTTCTTTCTTTCTTTCTTTCTTTCTTTCTTTCTTTCTTTCTTTCACTGAAGCCTGGTTATGTTAAACAGGTCTTTCTTTATTTCTTTCTTTCTTGCTCGCATTCTTTCTTTCTTTCTTTCTTTCTTTCTTTCTTTCTTTCTTTCTTGCTCACTTTCTTTCTTTCTTTCTTCCTTTCACTGAAGCCTGTAGTGTCGTTTCCCCGCTTTCCATGCGATCAAAACGGAATAGCTCATTATTTATGAGGTACTGGTAGGTGACGTTAAACAGGTCTTTCTTTCTTTCTTACTCGCTTTCTTTCTTTCTTTCTTTCTTTCTTTCTTTCTTTCTTTCTTTCTTTCTTTCTTTCTTTCTTTCTTTCTTTCACTGAAGCCTGTAGTGTCGTTTCCCCGGTTTCCACGTGATCAAAACGGAATAGTTCATTATTTATGAGGTACTGGTAGGTGACGTTAAACACGTCTTTGTTTGTTTGTTTGTTTGTTTGTTTGTTTGTTTGTTTCTTTCTTTCTTTCTTTATTTATTTATTTCTATATTTCGTTCTTTCTTTCACCGAAGCCGGTAGTGTCTTTCCCCCGCTTTCTACACGGTCAAAACGGAATAGTTCATTGTTTATGAGATATTGACAAGTCGCAACGGTCGTGCTAACTAAGGAACTACCAACAATGGAAGGGAAAAGCATAACGATTATATGCAAACTTCTGAAAGTGAACTATTAAAATCTATTTTAAAATTTTCAATTTTTAGATCTGAAATCAAGGAAGCACGAAATGGTTTCAATACATGGACAAAGTGTCGATTTAAACGGATTTCAGAAAGTAAGTTTAAAATTTACAGCTTATTCTTTTACATATATCTGAAGAGGAAATTAAAACTATTATAGAAAGTGCAAATTTCCTTGGACTGTGTTCGAAAATTTCAAAACTTTTCATTTAAAATCACGAACCTACGAAGTCTGAGCAAATTGTAAGGGTCACAGGAACATGAAAGAGAGAAGACGTGAGTAATTATTCGCTGATATCAATGCAAGTTAGAAATCTCAATCAATCGGAACAGATATAGGAAAAGGTGATTTTAATGTCTTGTCAAATTCACCTGTGTTAGGCTACTTTAGATTGTTCATAAATGAATGTCCCCTGGCCGAGAAGTCAATTAGCTAGAAGAATAGAGAGGCTGGATGAAATTTGGGTAATGTGCTCTTTCTATAATTGCTATCCTCACACAGAACGTAGACAGTGAACTGTCTGCGAAGACAAAAATAGTACACGTACACGGGGTCTGCAACTAATCTAAATATATACACATTTCGTTTGTCAATGGAACCTCTGCTTATTACATGAAAGTTAATTCAATAATTCTTCGTGGAGAATACAGTAATCCACTTTCTCTTATCCTAGGGTCATATGTTACAAAGACCCCACACCGATTATTTGAAACTATATATAATACCGGACCCTATACATTTTTTCCGATCTAAGCATGTCCTTGATAAAAAGTTCGATTTACCAATTCCGATGTAGAATCTTATTATATATTATGAAATAGACTAAGTCCGACAATTATTTTAATGTATTTTCTGTTTATACGTTATTTTTATAGATACAAATATTTAAGTAAATGCTCTGTTTATAATAAACATTTACCGGCCTGAATGTCCGAGAATTTTCATAAAAAATATGCGTCCTCCGTCAGGAACCGAACCGTCATATAGCCTGACGTGCTATATTATTTAGCTACAGCGGAAGCGTTTGGCTTACAAGGTTGGATTACTACTTTCAAACTAGAAATTTCCCCTGATTTCTCTCACGATTTGTCACAGGTCTCCATCGGAAACATCCTGCGCTACCATCAGATGTCAGATTTGTTCAGATGGAAAACAATGATTCAAATATTGAAATCACAATGGTTGCCGCTCTGAAGTCTTTCTCGGGAAGCAGCAGTGGAGGTGTGGACGGCCTCCGGCCTGGTCACATCAAGGACTTAATTTCTGCCCACACTGCTGAAGCTGGTGAACATTTGAAAATATCAATAACAGCTCTTATTAATACCCTTCTTCGAGCTGAGATACCCCAACATGCTCGCTACTTAATATTTTCAGCCAACTTAACAGCTTAAAAAAAAAAGACGGAAGTATCCACCCTATCGGTGTTGGTAACATTTTTCGTCGTCTCGCGGCAAAAATTGCTTGTAGAGTTGTTGTGAAGGAGACAGGGCGTGAATTGCGACCTGTCCAGCTCGGGGTAGGCATACAGGGCGGATGTGAAGCCGCGGTTCATGCCACAAGATCATTATTCGAGAATACATCATCTGCTTCCCCATGTATCTTATTAAAGTTGGATATAAAAAACGCTTTCAATAGCACCAGAAGGGACCATGCCCTGGAAATTTGTCATCAAAGGACTCCTTCCATATTTAAACTGGCTTATCTTTCGTCTAGTCATCTAAGTATGTTGATCGCCTCCGATAATATTATCTCTTCTGCTACTGGAATCCAGCAAGGTGATCCACTTGGTCCGCTACTATTTGCGATGGCTGTTGACGGGGTAGCTCGTTCCATCGCCTCTCCTTTCAATATATGGTATCTTGACGATGCAACGTTGGGAGGATCCATCGAGGCTGTATCTGCTGACCTCCGACGAGTTATTCCTGATTTATCTCTGCTTAGACTTGAGATTAACTCGTCCAAGTCAGAGATAATAAACTTAAATTATAGCGCAGATGATTTCGAGAGTTCTATCCGGGATATCAGACTCATCCTTGAGGATATAAAAATAACACCTAAGGAGGAATGACATATTCTTGGTTCTCCAGTCTTTCCAATGGCCATTCGAGAGTTTGGATACTAAGCATGTCATTCTAACAAAAATGACTGAGAAATTGCAATTAATTGATGCACATCCAACCCTTTTCCTCTTGAAGAACAGTTTCCGAAGTGCCTCTGGCTACATCGCACAGGATTTCTTAAATGGGATAGATATCACAATTAAGAAATGCGCGGAGCTAATTTGCAACGTTAATTTCGACGACACAGGCTGGAGGCAGGAAAAGCTCCCTTTGAATTTCGGAGGCCTGGGCCTTCGATCAGCGGTAGATTTGACCCTTCCAGCATATCTTTCTTCACTTTCGTCCATTCGCGAATTAATTGATGAGATACTCGGTGGATCGTCTCAGTGTTTCTCGGGTAGTTCTTTCGAACAAGCTTGCAGCGTCTGGGCCCAAGAATTACTTTCTCTTCCACTAGACACATCAAAACAAAAGGGCTAGGATAAAATAAAATGCGAGGCCAATTTTACTAATTTGAGGTTCTCTCTGGATCAGCATCGCCTCGCCTGTCTACTATCTGCTTCACAACCGAGTAATGGCGCCTGGCTCAACGTAGTGCCCTCTTCATCTATCAGTACCCTTCTAGATGATGAGTGCACTCGGGAAGGAGTCGCGATCCGTCTTGGACTCAAATTATGTGAGCGTCACAGTGTAGATGTGGAGCCTCCATCGATGAGTTTGGTTTGCATCCTCTCTACTGTCGTCGTTGTGCCGGCCGCTTTCCAGGGCATGCAGCCATTAACGACATCATCAAAAGAGGTTTGGATGCAGCTGGGTTCCCTTCCCAAGTCGAAGCCGTAGGCCTCGACCGCGGTGATGGAAAGCGGCCGGATGGCATTACCATTTTCCCTTTTAAAATGGGGAAGTCGTTGATTTGGGATGCGACCTGTGCGGATACATTTTCGGCCGGTAATTTGATCAGGTCCGCGGTTGAGCCAGGATCCGTCGCCCGGGACGCAGAGATAAAAAAATAGTTAAATATTCTTTACTTGCTGATAGATTTTTTTTTTACTCCTGTGGCAGTGGAGACTTCAAGGGTTATTGGTCCTCGTTCGATGGCGTTCCTTCGGAGGATTGGCAGGATGGCGTCTCGATTAAGGGACGAGCCTCGTGCAGCGTGTCTCACCGGAGATGGTAAGAGGTAATGCTTTCTCCATTATTCCGGCTGCAGAGGATAGCAAAAAAAAAAAAAATGTTAAATGTTACTTTGTTCAAACTTTTTTTTTCTCTATATTTAAAAAAATCTCTCAAATGCTCATATCTGCTTGAAGCGTATCTTATCGTAAACAAATGACGTCATATATTATGAAATGGATTAAGCCCGACAATTATTTTAATATATTTATTGCTTATACGTTATTTTTTATAGATACAAATATTTAAGTAAATGCTCTATTTATAATAAACAGTATTAACAATATTTAGCGGCCTGAATGTCCAAGAAATTTTATAGAAAATATATGCCCCCAGACAGGAATCGAACCTGTATCCTACGCGAAATCGTCATCAATACCATTTAGCTACAGAGGAAGCGTCTGGTGAATGTTGCTAATATTGTCCCAGGACATTTGCGTTCCTAGACAAATGTGTCCCTGGATAATTGCGTAACTCTGATAATTTTTTGAAGTTAACATTTTTAAAGAGTTTTTTAATATAGAAATTTTCACACCAATACCTTTAATTACTCTAATAAAGTAGAAATTTAGTTATCATAAATAAAAAAAAAAGAGAAACAGGTTAGTTTTTAAAGCAAGGGAAAATTAAGCTAGAAGTTTCAAGTTCAATCCAGCAGTTCGTACCAGAAACATTTAATAGATTCTGGATTTTATAGATTATATTTTTATTTGGAACCCATGACTAAGTTCTGAAAATCAAACAGTGGTGTGAAAAAATATTTGTAGACGAGAAAAATTATAGCGACCACTATCATAGGAAAAACACCAATGAAACAAAAACAGACTGACAATGTGGAGAGCGATCTTGCAACACTGTTAATCTGTCACTGCATTTTAAACAATAATTTAATTTTTTATTTTATTATTTTATTACTTTTATTTAAAAAAATTATGATCATTCTACCTATGCTTTTTTAAAAAAAAAATATGGTAATTGCTTTTAAAAGTTTCAAAAAACTATCAAAGGTACGCAATTATCCGGAGACGCATTTGTCTAGGGCCGCAAATGTCTATGGACTCAATTGTTCGGGGCGCAAATGTGCTAGAACCAGAGAATAACATAGTTCAGTGCGGCAATGCTTACGACTCAACGCTATGCCTTGTGACTGTTCTTATCAGCAGACGATCTGCCCATAGTAGATAAACGAGTCTATGTTCAACAATTAGCGTAGAGAAGGCCGGTCGTTTTTCTACACCTAGCACCTGCCAAAGCTCGAGCTTAATGTGGGGTACCTGAGCATGTACACCTGGGCCAAGGTAAAAAAAAAAAAAAAAAAAAAAATTGCCCAGCACCTGCAATCATCCGTTGCTCTGGTATCGATATTAATACAGACCCCTTCTCTAGTGCAATGACGGGGTACTGCCGATGGCATCAGTTCCCCGAACCGGGAATCTCTCAGCCATTTTTCCCCTGCTATGGCCGGTCTGCGGGCAAAGACACACCTGAGTTGCACTCTGCCTCAAGACAAAGTCGCAACTAAGAGATGATATACCAATAACTGTGTCAGGTAACACCTAGTAGGTTTCAGGTTTTGTCAAAATCGACTCGCTGTTAACTTTGAATAAATCCGACGAGAAGAAACCTCCTTGTCTTAAGACCATTTCTGACTTTTGTGTACTTAGTTCATTTTCTGTCCGTATGCGGGTACTTTGCTTCACAGTAAAAGTTCTGGATTATTCTAACCACTTTCCCGAATACAGTGTGTGATGAGCAAATTATCACCATTTTATACTTTTAATTTTGCGCATGCGCGTTGTTTGTTTATGATTCTGCACTGTATAGTAAGGTTAGTTGGGCACTGTTTGTGAGAAGAAGAGCATCATGACGCAATTCACTCCACTAGTAATTTAGAAAGGGCTTGCTGTACTGCTTAGCATTTGCGCCGGAAGATCAAATACGGACATTTTAGTGCGTTTGGGTGTCAATCTGAGGACAGTGCAGAAGATTTGGAAAGAGTTAGATGAGTCTAATGGTGATTACGAAGGTGTTTAGAGTGATCACTAGTGACGGCTATGTTATGCCTCTATTCATCTTTCCACAGATTCAACACGGAGGCCTACATCAAGCGCCTTGAGGAGGTAGTGGAGGTAGTCAAGAGGGTGGCTGCTGGAGAATGCAGTCATGGCCGTCAGACAATTTCTGCGACCACATCATGACCTTTACATCTGGCCACCTAACTCCCCAGATTGCAACCTCCTCGATTATTATATGTGGGGTGCAGTTGAATGAGAGACCAAGAAAACTCCTTGTAGCACCAAAGATGAACAGACGTCAAGAATTATGGCAACATTCACCAACTTAAACAAGGAAACCGTTCAGAAGAGTTGTAGGAGATTCCGAAGTCGGTGTGGAGGCCGTGGTTGAAGCCAATGGCGAAAATATTGAATAAATTTACTCTTTCGTATTTCAATATATTTTTGTGTAATTTTTGGTAAAAGTTATGGTCCAGGTTAGGACCAAGGAAGAACAAGACAAACACAAGAGTAAAAATAACGAAGGTGTATTACACGAAATAATAATACAAGATGTGGAAGGTGTTAGTAAGACTGTCAGTCTGGTTTGGAGTGGACTACTATCGGCTCGACTCGATTCGATATTTACTTGCCCCCCACGAGGGAAAGTTGTGACACAAGGCCGAGTTTTACGTGGGATTTCCGTGCCCGTAGGCTCGGCCCAAAAATGCCCGTAGAAAGTGTAAAAACAGAATCGGGTTGGTCAACCTACCCGAACGAGACTCTGCCCTTCGGCGGAGCCTCGTCTGGGTTCCTCTCTGCTCAGAGGCAGAGAGTTCGACCGTCAAGCCGAAACGGCTCGGCTCGATTCGACCCTCTCCCTTGAGAGGCATAGTATACATAGTGTAAAAAGAGTCCATTCTGTAGTTATAGGTAAGGACACATGACAATAAATATATCTGTTAAAATGAGACGTCAGTGTTATCTTTACTTTAGTGTCATTTAGACGACAATTTATCCATCGTACCCTGTATATCTGTTAAAATTAGACGTCAGAATTATTTTCATTTTTGTGTAATTTAGACGGCAATTTATCCATCGCACCCTGTAGATAAAGTTTTCCTATCAGTTCAAATAGGTCTTTGTGCTCTATCTTATCAAATGCATTTGCGTTGTCTATAAAATATAGATATACAGTTTATATATCATAATTACCAAAAATGCTAACGTAAATTAATATCAGATATTCACATTTATTTTTAGTCTCGATTTACCCCTTAGTAGAATGTCCCGTAATCCATAAAGTGAGAATTGCGTGCGATATTGCATGCGCGTATCTAATGACTATGTATATATCTGTATTGTATGTGAGCGACTTTGATGTGGATGTGCCATTTTAATGTTCACACGAGCACACGTAGACCCGTGCATAGACACAGTACGACTAAGTATTTCTGGACAAACTCTACCCTTATTATTATAATGTCGAGAAAAAGAAAAACAAAAAAAAAATGTTAAATCATAAAAATTCTGATAATTATACAAATAATTATAAAAACTTAAAAAAAATAAAAATTATATAAAAATATATAATTGACAAATTATATAAAACATTGTATCAATTTTTTTAATAATAAAAATATTGATTATATAATAAGATATGTAAAATATATATTTAACAAATATATAATTGATATAAAATATAAAAATTATATAAAAATGTATAAATATTTTAATTTTATTCATAGTTACAAAAATAAGATTTTATTGAAATATAATCGTTTGCCCGTTTAAAATGCTACATTTATTAGAAAATATATTCAGTTTAAAGACAAAAGTCACTTATTTGAACTATCATTCATCATACTAGTTTGGTACATGTCACT